CCAGCCAATAACTTCTTTTTATTCGGTCAGCTCTATAAAAGGTATTCGTTTTCAGAGTTGCAAAAAAAAGTTGTAGTTGTAGGACTGACCAACTACAGAGATAATATTGGTCCACATAACATATTGTAACATTTCTTTACGATCGAACCCAAATCCGTGCATGAAATTGAATTAACATGTAATCCCTCTAATACTTCAACAATAGGGACAGGTTTACATTGTAAGGGCTAATCAAATGTGAAAGGAAAGAAATATTTTAGGTGTTAGAAGAATCATGAACCATAAGTACAAAGGTGAATTACCAATTAACAACTCACGAGTGAAAATCCTCCCCTCTGCCATGGAGATGGAGAGAAGGAGAGAGAGCACAAGGACCAGGTTAACAAACGTCGCAGAAGTCTTTGCCATCTTACTTCCTTCTAATCCAAATCTCTAGCTGAAATTACCAATTTTCTTTTAGTTAGCTGAACTGTAGCCAGCTCTCCTATAAATAATTGAACTCGGAGGAAAGGGCCAAAGCAAAAGAGGTCATGGAGGAGTTGTTCTTCGGAAAACACAACACAAAGACACTTATTTGAGAAGTCTCTCTGTATGGATTATTATTATGATTAAATAATATCATTAGCAGCAGACGGACTAATCTAAGCCTGAAACACGTCTGTTTTCTTTCATTTTAGCAGTTTTTAGGTTGTCGTACTTGTTTTAGAACCATAGGCCAAGAAGTTAATCTAGGCGCCAAACATGTATTTTCTTTTATTTTAGGAAAATCTATGCGAGCTATATATGCTAAAACAAGAAATCTATTGGCAACTCCAGCCACTAATTGTAGCAGACCTAACAGCTACAATGGACCCAAAAGTCAAAGTTGTTAGTTTTAGAAGAAGAACACACAAAAAAAAGGAATGAAGATAAACTGACGCAACGCGGAAGTTGTAACCTCAGAATCCACCAAGAACAATCTTCGAATCCACGAAGAGCTTCGAATCCACGAAGTAAATATTAAAAAAAAAATTTTATTAATCAAAAGTTATGCCTTAAGGGCTTACAAGACCCTACTTAAATAGAAAAAAACAAAATTTTTACAAGGACTAAACTCCTACAAGGACTAAACTCCTACAAGGACTCTAACTTACCAAAACTAGTAAAAAAATTCCTAAAACATTAAAACTCCTAAAAAGACTCCTTACGATTAGAAAAGTCCACCGGTCAAATCTGAGATCAAATCGGCTTTATTTCCTAATCAAAACAGGCTCCTACAACATTACTAAAAATAGTAAAAACGAAAAAAAATGCATATATCTCTCAAACTATAAGGAATTTGGTAAAACGGAGGAAGCAAACCGAACCCTTAGGGGTGGGATTGGATGGCTTCGTCTCGTCGAGTTAGTCGATTTTCATATATAATTCATCCAATTCCAACGTACGGTTTGAAAGTTACGGTCGTTTCTTCGAAACAAGTTATTTTCTTCGACCGGGCCCGCATTTGGACTTGCGACTGTCCCACTTTGACATAAACGTATCTGTCGTGTGTTCTACATCAGTCCCCCTGCTTAAAAAGAGCTCAACCTCGAGCTTACACTTGCATAAATAGTTGTTTCTTCTGGCTGGTAATACTCAAACAAATCTGCAACATTAAAACTAGGAGAGATACCTAAATCTGTAGGAAGGTCAACCACATAAGCATTGTTGCTAATCTTCTTCAATATCTTGCATGGATCATACTTCTTATTCTTCAGCTTGTTGTAGGTGCCTACGAAATGTTCTTTTCGTAGAAACACCCATCACTATGTCTCCCTCTTCAAACACATTTTTCCTCCTATGTCGATCAGCATCATCCTTATATTTAGCATTAGACTGCTCTATCTTCTCCTTGACTTCCTATTGGATAGCTCGTATCTTTTTAATTATATGATCTGTAGAAACACTTTGTCCGGGAAGCTTAGGCAGTGGAGCAAGGTCAAGATAATGATTTGGAAGCCTTCCATACACAATCACAAAGGGAGCCTTGCCTATAGTTCGAATCTCCATACAGTTATAAACAAATTCAGCATGTGCCAGAGTAAGATCCCACTGCTTCGGACGATCGCTAGAGATGAATCTAAGAAGGTTACCGAGAGTGTGATTTACTACTTCTGTTTGGCTATCCGTTTGAGGGTGATAAGAAGTACTGAACATAAGAGAAGTATTGAATCGCTGCCACAAAGTCCTCCAAAAGTGGGATAAGAACTTAGAATCACGATCGGATGTGATGGGTATTGAATCGCTGCCACAAAGTCCTCCAAAAGTGGGATAAGAACTTAGAATCACGATCGGATGTGATGGATTTTGGCACTCCATGAAGGCGAACTATCTCCTGAAAGAAAAGATTGACAACGTGGCTGCATCTGCAGTCTTCTTACATGGAATGAAGTGCGCCATCTTCGAAAACTTGTCAACCACAACATAAATAGAATCCATACCTTGTTGGGTTCTAGGCAGTCCCAACACAAAGTCCATAGAGATATCAGCCATGGCGCATCAGGAACGGGTAAAGGTGTATACAATCCTGTATTCGAAGACTGTCCCTTAGCAACTTGACAAACTGGACGACGCCGTAGATATTTTTCTGTTGCCTTCTTCAACTGAGGCCAGTAATATTGCTCTTCAATAGAAGCAATCATCTTGTCTCGCCCCAAGTGTCCTCCTAACTCGTCAGCATGAAGGTCTCTAATTATCTGCTCTCTTAGCGAACTCTTGGGTATGCATAATTGATCGCCATGAATAAATAATCATCCTGAATATGAAAGCCTTTGACTAATTTATTCTATTGGCAGTCATCCCAAATCTCCTTAAAGTCTTCATCCTCTGCATATATCTCCTTTAGGTACTCAAATCCAATCACTTCTGCTTGCAAAGTCACCAACAAACCAGCTCTCCGACTGAGTGCCTCTGCAACCTTATTTTGCTGCTCGGATTTGTGCTTCAAAACAAAGGTAAAACGCTGTAGATACACGATCCAACGAGCATGCATACGGTTGATGGTAGTCTGACTATTAAGGGACTTCAGGGCCTGATGATCAGTATGAAATAGAAACTCTCGCGAGATCAAATCCTGCTCTTAATGCTTTAAAGACTGAACTATGGCATATAACTCTAGCTCATATGTGGTCCCCTTCTATCGAGCTTCACTGAGTTTTTCATTGTAGAAGGCAACTGGACGTTCTTCTTAAGATAGAACACCACCAATTCCTAGGATGGATGCATCACAATTAACTTCAAACACCTTTTGAAATTCTAGAAGTGCAAGTACTGGTGCGGTGGACAATTTCTCCTTGATTAATGCAAAGCTATGATCCGCTTCGACTCCCCAATTAAACTTTCCTTTCTTTATGCATTCAGTGATAGGAGCTACAATACTGCTAAAATTTCTGACAAATATTTTATAGAACGTTGCTAGGCCATGAAAACTACGAACCTCACTGACAGTCTTCGGTGTAGGCCACTCTCGAATAGCACGTACCTTCTCTTCATCAACATGGATGCCCTCTGAACTAATGACAAAGCCTAGGAATACAAGGCTACTGGTCATGAAGTTGTACTTTTTTAGATTGATGTACAACTTGTTCTCCAGCAAAACTGTCAGTACCTCCTTCAAGTGGTCCAGATGCGTAGTCTCACTCTGGCTATAAATCAGGATATCATCAAAGTAAACTACAACGAACTTATAGATAAAGGTTTTTAATACCTGATTCATCAAACGCATGAAAGTGCTAGGAGCATTAGAAAGGCCAAAAGGCAGGACTAACCATTCATACAGGTCTTCTTTTATTTTGAAAGCAGTCTTCCACTCATCTCCTTCTCTAATCCGAATCTAATAATAACCACTCTTGAGATCTATCTTAGAGAACACTTTTGATCCAAACAACATATCTAACATGTCTTCCAGTCGTGGGATTGCAAATCGATACTTCACGGTGATCTTGTTGATAGCCCTACTGTCCACACACATGCGTAACTCTCCATTCTTTTTCAGGACTAGTAGCGATGGCATGGCACACGGACTCATGCTAGGTTGTAGAAGGCCTTTCAAGACGAGGTCATCCACCTGCTTCTACAAAATTTCTCCTTCCTTTGGGCTCATTCGATAGTGTGGAAAATTTGGTAGTCGAGATCCCGGGATGAGGTCGATCTGATGCTGAACATCTCGAAGGAGTAATAATTCGAAGGAAGATCGTCGTGTATCACTATATCAAATTGCTGCAAGAGGGTCTGTACTTCATGTGGAATTTCGGCGGTGGTAGAATCCTCTTTTCTCGAGACAATAAGAGCATAAACCTCATCAGACTGCTTCATATCTTTCATAAAGTCTTCATTGTCACTGACCAAAAAAGTCTTCTTTTCAGCAACATTGGTTTGACAGGCTCCTTCTCGGTTAGAGGCTTGAGCACAATTCATCGACCATCCTTCTTAAATATATAAACATTATCTTTCACCTATGTGTGGTATCAACATCAAACTGCCATGGCCTACCTAATAATATATAACATGCGTCCATCTCAACTACATCACACAACGCCTCATCGATATAAGTTCGGCCAATGGAAAAAGATACCCGACACACCTCATCAACTTGGACGTTATTACCCTTACGAATCCATCCGATCTTGTAAGGAGCGGGGTGCTTCTCCATCTTCAAACCTAATTTCTCCGCCATGCACCGAGAGATAATATTCTCACTGCTCTCACTATCAATAATGACATCGTAGATCTTCTGTTTCACTGTGCATCTCATGCGGAAGATGTTGTGCCTCTGTGGTGGTTCTTCTGTCTTTAGGGCCAATAATAGTCACCGCATAACATATGAGAGTTGTTCCCCATCATCATCAGGATTCAATCCACCATCATAGTCTTCTGCATCGTCTTCGTCTATGTCCTTGTCTTCGTGATCCTCCATATTCACAACACCTCTTTTAGGGCACTGATTGGATCGATGACCAGGTTGTCCACATCTATAGCACTTGATCGGGTCAGGCTTGACATACGGGTTCGGTGGTGTAGTCTTATTTGCTATTGTTGCTAGACCCTTTGCCTTCTCCGTTGTAGTATCTTGATCAGAAACAGTTTGAGACTGTTTATTCCCACTACGATTAAAGCTTGTGGGCAACCTGTCGGAAGCTGCCTATGATCCTTTACTATTTCGTCCGAGTTGTCGCTCCACCTTCTCGGCTAGGCTAACTGTGTCTGCTAAGGTATAGGTCTGCAGATACACGATCCTGAATTGCCATCCTCAATCCTCCTGTATATCGGGATATCTGTTGGGCTTCGCTCTCGATTAAGTTGTTGCGAGATGATAGCCTATAGAACTCATGTGTGTACTCATCCAAAGTTCTTCCATCTTGCTTACAATTCTGGTATTGTCCAAATAAAACTTGTTCATAATCAATTGGCAAGAAACGGGCCCTCAATAGTTTCTTCATCTTTTCCCACCTTTCGACCTTCGGCTTTCCTTGACGAGATCACTTCAAACAAATAGATTCCCACCAAGCTGAAACTCCACCTTTGAGTTGGTAGGCCACCAATTTTACCTTACACTCTTCTGGGATCTCCATATACTCAAAGAATCTCTCTACTTCTGCATTAATCCAATCGAGGAATTCTTCGATATGAAGTTACCCGTTGAAAGATGGCAGATCGATCTTCATCTTGAAATCTCCAGCGTCATAATTTTCCCTTCGCCGATGGTCTCTGCGATAAACACCATGGTATGGTGCTGCATAGTTATCTTCCTCGTTGTCGAATTCATCATATGGAGTCGGTGGAGTCGGATAACATCATTTGCGACCATCAACGTGATTTTGAACTCCCACCATGTTCAGACGCTTAACTACCATTGCAAGTCACTCCATGACTGTCACGCCCCGCTTCCCAAAATACCAGGGAATCGGAACTGAACAAGCCCGCGACGTATTAGATTGAGAAGAAATACACACTATCATTTTTTTCTTTTCTTTTCTTCTTAATCCAATACGCTAAGCGTCTGGAAATAAATACAATGCAAAGGCAAGGTCTCTGATCACAGATAAAAGGAATATAATGAACAACGTAGAATAAAATAATACATATCACAAATGAATATCATCCAAGACATAAAAATAAGGGTCAAACATGCCCTTATGCAAATCTGAACAAAGGAATACTGGAGAAAATAAAATACAATGATCAAGCGGAAAAGGAAATGCTACAAAAGAAACTAGGATCATCAACAAAGAAGAGGTAGCTGAACTTCGACCTATTCTTCAATTCTATCTACAAGGCACACATGCTGAGAATCCTCTGGCTCCTGACGATCTCCCAGCTAAACATGTTCTTCCTCTAAGTCTGACGTACACTAGAGAAAAGAGGTGTACGTTAGCGTGCATGGCACACGGTAAGACCCCACAAAGAAAATAGAACGATCGAAAACCCAAAGCGGAAAACGATACGATAATAGAAATGATAAAAAGACGTGCAACTAGAAATTCAACAAAATCAATCAAGTAACAAATCGATCATGCAACTAGCGATCAGAACAATCATCAAACTAACAAGGTCATACAACTAGATGGAATTAATACTTAAAAATCTATAACAAGAGATGTAGTACGTCGAGCGAAATAATCCAAACAAGGAAACCCTCATGTATATACCTTATGTCTGAAATTGTAGATAATTAATTATTAATCCTGAGCTATGTATGGAAAGGAAGTACAACTGGCCTACATCTCACAGGATTTCATACTTAACCAAGAAACGAGGTCGTGTGACTAGCCAACCTAAAACTCACTAGTCCACATCTCACATAAAGTCAACATTCATATCATCGGATAACTAACTGTTCACAAATCCTCTACGCGCATCTAATACTACTGCACGAATCGATCAAAGGACTACACATAATCCGATCTCGGCTTGGTTCGAACTCAGACAAAGCTCAGATGATGAAATAGGGGCCACCACTAAAACCTGTCACGTCCCACTTCCCAAAATACCGGAGAATCAGAACGTGAACAAGCCCGCGACGTATTAGATTAAGAATAAATATACACTATCATTTTTTTCTTTTCATTACTTCTCAATCCAATACGCTAAGCGTTTGAAAATAAATACAATGCAAAGGCACAGATCTCCGATCATAGATAGAAGGAATATAATGAAAAACGCAGAATAAAATAATACATATCACAAATGAATATCATCCAAGACATAAAAATAAGGGTCAAACATACCCTTATACAAATCTGAACAAAAGAATACTATAGAAAATAAAATACAATGATCAAGCGGAAAAGGAAATGCTACATAAGAAACTAGGATCATCAACTAAGAAGAGGTAGCTGAACTTCGGCCTATTCTTCAATTCTATCTGCAAGGCACTCCTGTTGAGAATCCTCTGGCTCCTACCGATCTCCTAGCTGAACCAGTTCTTCCTCTAAGTCTGACGTACACTAGAGAAAACAGGTGTACGTCAGCGTGCATGACGCACGACAAGACCCCACAAAGAAAATACAACGATCAAAAACCCAAAGCGAAAAACGATACGATAATAGAATGACAAAAGGACGTGCAACTAGAAATTCAACAAAATCAATCAAGTAACAAATCGATCAGAACAATCATCCAACTAACAAGGTCATACAACTGAATGGAATTAATACTTAAAAATCTACAACAAAAGATGTAGTACGTCGAGCGAAATAATCCAAACAAGGAAACCCTCATGTATATACCTTATGTCTAAAATTGTAGATAATTAAATATTAATCCCGATCTATGTATGAAAAGGAAGTACAACTAGCCTACATCTCACAGGAATTCATACTTAACCAAGAAACGAGGTCATGTGACTAGCCAACCTAAAACTCACTGGTCCACATCTCACATAAAGTCAACATTCATATCATCGGATAACTGACTGTTCACAAATCCTCTACGCACATCCAATACTACTACACGAATCGATCAGAGGACTACACGCAATCCTATCTCGGCCTGGTTCGAACTCAGGCAAATCTCAGGTGACGAAACAGGGGCCACCACTAAAACCTATCACGCCCCGCTTCCTAAAATACCGGGGAATCGGAACGTGAACAAGCCCGCGACGTATTAGATTAAAAAGAAATATACACTATTGTTTTTTTTCTTTTCTTTTCTTCTCAATTCAATACGCTAAGCATCTGGAAATAAATAAAATGCAAAGGCACAGGTCCCCGATCGCAGATAGCAAGAATATAATGAATAACGTAGAATAAAATAATACATATCACAAATGAATATCATCCAAGACATAAAAATACGGGTCAAACATGCCCTTCAGAATAAAATAATACATATCACAAATGAATATCATCCAAGACATAAAAATACGGGTCAAACATGCCCTTATACAAATCTGAAAATATCATCCAAGACATAAAAATACGGGTCAAACATGCCCTTATACAAATCTGAACAAAAGAATACTGGAAAAAATAAAATACAATGATCAAGCGGAAAAGGAAATGCTACAAAAAAAACTAGGACCATCAACTAAGAAGAGGTAGCTGAACTTTGGCCTATTCTTCAACTCTATCTGCAAGGCACTCCTGCTGGGAATCCTCTGGCTCCTGACGATCTCCCAGCTGAATCTGTTCTTCCTCTAAGTCTGACGTACACTAGAGAAAACATGTGTAATTTAGTGTGCATGGCACACGGCAAGACCCCACAAAGAAAATACAACGATCGAAAACCCAAAGCGGTAAACGATACGATAATAGAAATGACAAAAGGACGTGCAACTAAAAATTCAACAAAATCAATCAAGTAACAAATTGATCATGCAACTAGCGATCAGAACAATCATCCAACTAACAAGGTCATACAACTAGATGGAATTAATAATTAAAAATCTACAACAAGAGACGTAGTACGTCGAGCGAAATAATCCAAATAAGGAAACCCTCATGTATATACCTTATGTCTCAAATTGTAGATAATTAAATATTAATCCTGATCTATGTATGGAAAGGAAGTACAACTGGCCTACATCTCACAGGAATTCATACTTAGCCAAGAAACGAGGTTGTGTGACTAGCCATCCTAAAACTCACTGGTCCACGTCTCACATAAAGTCAACATTCATATCACCGGATAACTGACTGTTCACAAATCCTCTACGCGCATCCAATACTGCTACACGAATCGGTCAGAGGACTACACGCAATCCGATCTCGGCCTGGTTCGAATTCAGGCAAAGCTCAAGTAACAAAACAGGTCACGGACTAAAGTGACTACACAAATTCACTTTAACCCAACAAACCAACCCCAGTGACTACACGAATTCACTGGCGCAGGCTGGAAGTTACATCAACAGTCACATCCAAGCACATGAACATTAACTTCCTCATCCCAACTCTTCTTGTTTTTCTAAGTCAACCATAATCCTCATTAAAACTCGGGTTCACCATCAAAACTCAGTCAACACACTCACACATGGCACTAAGTTTGTTCATGACGTACGAGGCCACTAAGTCATGAACTATTAAGATTCTCAATCACAACAAGGAGATAATAATAACTCTAATCATGTGCAATAAAACATGGTATGTCACATAATCAAAATTAAGAATTATAAATCATGAACAACAACTACATAATTTAGAAAATAATTCATTTTCCAAAATAACTTCTTTTAAAATTATTTCTTATTATTAATCTAAAATAATTCTTTTTCTCAAAACAATTTTTTTTTATTTTATAAATTCTCTAAAATAAATC